CATAATCATATTGATCCTTAACAATATGGATTTATTTGTATTGTTATTGGTATATTGATATTAAATAGGTTGCTCGAACAGTAAATCTCATTAAGAATGAATTGGGAGACATTACAATGCTCTTCCATTGCTGCGGTTTGCCCAGCCCATGTACATTAGTACAAGCATCATCAGAAGTAAAGGATATTATGGACTTAACAATTATTAGTCATTTTTGGGTAAATGTCCTTTTGATGTATATTTTGATGTACAAAATTTGGAGAAGCAGGTATACTCAATAATGTTATTTTTATAGTTGTTGGATTCAGTTTTGCCATGTATGCGACATGCTGGTAAAGGACACATCACAATCTTGTCTTCTGTCGCTGGTCTTTCTAATGGATCGAGTAATCGTAGAACCAGAGTTCCTTTATCTACTGCTCAATTTGCACTACAAGGATTAGCCGAGTCTTTACACATGGAACTGAGACATTCAAATAGTAATATCATTGTTTCATTGGTTCACGTATATTCATTTATTGTTGGGACAGAAGCTGCAAAAGATATACGTTTTAGGTAATAAATGCATTTGTAAGCTGTATATTTCATTTATATCATTTTTATTGTTATTGCATATCGTGTGATTATCTATTTTTTTAATTTCTAATTTTCTAAAACACATTTTGTAGAATACCAAGTTACTTTGGTACAATGTCTGCCGCAGAAGCAGCTAAACAAATTTTAGATGGTGTTCGCCGAAATTATGCAGAATTTAGTGTACCAGGATATCTGCTTTATCTCGGACATGTCCTTAGGTATTCTTGTCATTTTTTTTGAGTTTATATATATGAAATAATAGATGAGTAATAAGCTAACAAGTTTCTTATATTTTCAGGATTCTTCCAAAAAAAGCATCCTTTATGTTACGAGATTTATTAGACACTGGAGTTGATTTTGCATGATGTTATTTACAAGTAATATTTTTTTATATTTTTTTAACATGATTGCGATATTTTGATATGTGCAAATACGCGTACCTTGTTCCTTAATGTGCATGGAACTCAAAACTGCTATTTTTT